CCCCCCGGAGCGCCAGCCAGCCTGCCTCTGAAAGATATGCAAGCGCCCGCTCAAGTTCGCCATGAATATCAAGTACACGCGAAGTGAAGTACACGGCTAATGTACTGTACCGTGCCCTTACCTAAACACGGCCGGGTGGCGTGGCGTGGCGTGACCTTGCGGCGAGGCCCGGGTGCAGGCAGTGGAGGGGCAGGTGCAGCGGGCGTGTGAGAGGGAGGCGAGAGGAAGACGGCCTCCTCCAGGCCTCCTCCAGCTGCGCCGGGCTACGCCGCTGCCGAGGGCTCCGCGGGGCCATAAGCCAAACAGCCAACCAGTCGAGCCGGGCCAAGTGCAGTGCAGGCCCGTGCGCGGCATGGCGGGGTGTGGCGAGGCGTGGCGGGGCGAGGCGTGGCGGGGCGTGGCGTGGCGGGGCGAGGTGCGGCTCGCGGCGGCATAACTCACAACTTTGGATCTCAGCGGCGATACCGCCCGCCCTCCCTTCCCCCCGCCTCGAGGACGGCCCGGATCGCGTTTTGCAAAACTCGCAAAGCGATGTGAGACACTTCCAACAGTAAACTATCAGTTGTCTCCGAATAATAGCACATCTTATAGTGTATTTTGACTAACGGAGGAAGAAGAATGGCGGGGAGAACATTATAACGTTACCGATTGATCGAGAGCTTCCCGCCTCTATACGCCAGGGGGTAGCTCGACCAATCAGGAACCTTTATGTTCTACCGACTATTCTTCTTCCTCCGTTAGTCGCGGCAAAACACAGTTTGGTCTGTGTGTCTAAACTGACTGTGTTATGCCGCGAGTGTATGTGTGGTCATAAACCAAGTTTTGTCCAATTTGTAAAAACTAATCGTGTCTAGATCATATCAGAGTAGCATTCTACTTCAATAAGTGGTTCTGTAAAGTTGGCTTCGTGAAAGTAAGTTCACACAATGTTCTACACCGGACCCGGGACCCGGTGTCGTTGTATAGGTTAGTGTACGGACATATTGCATTGGTACAATTTTAACTCAATTATAATGACTGAACTGTCGTAATAAACCTTAGTAAAGGTGGTGCCTGATAGATGCATAGGCTCGTTCTAAATAGATTAAAGTCTAACGACATGCAACATAACCTCTGCAGGAGTGCAGGTCAGGTCCGGGGGTTGGCTGTTTAGAGCGGTTGACGCGGCTCGTGGCTCGCAACGGCTGCAGAGCGGGCCGGCCGTACTGTCTGGGCCAAACTGTACGAGAATTCGGACACACCCCGGGGTAAAACGGCCAAACGCTTAACTTGAGTAGTACACGGAAGGAAAGTAGAAATGGGGCTCCCTGTATATCACACACGTTTTGCAGGTGATGGGACGCGGAATTTTCGCTATAGGTACTCTCTCAGCGGGGTGTCGTCGTGTCAGTGTCCCCCTCCTCGGCTCGTCGTCTAGCCTTTCCACCCGCCTCCCCTCCGGGTCAGCAGAGAGGAAGCAGTTGATGTCCCGTATATTCTCTGCAACCCCTTTCACGAGGATGTGGTTTATGAACAAATCGGTAGAGAAAGTTTCGGCTCGAGCTGCGATGAGGGGGGCAAGGGGCCAGGGGGAGAAGTTAGCTTCATCAATTGCTGAGGGCGGACAGACGGGTGGTGTGGGACTATCACCTCGCGGAGAGAGGAGAGAGAGAGAGAGAGAGAGAGAGAGAGAGAGAGAGAGAGAGAGAGGGGGGGGGGAGTGGGCGTTAATTGGATCACTACGCGGGAGCATCAGCAGCAGCCAGGGCACTTTTTGTTTTTTTCTTAAATTCACGAGGTTAGCCGACCAATGCGCCATTTAGCTTCTCTCACCTCTCACCACCCCCAAGAGCCCCGAGGTAAAAGTGTTGTTCTACTCTGCAGCGGTGGTAGATACTACCCTGCCCCTCCCCCTCTCTCACTCGCTCTACCAAACACCCCTACCAACAAAGCCAGACAGCCTCATCCAATCTCGTTCTGTTATCTTTCTTTTTTTCCTGTTTCAGCGGACAGCAGCTTCTTGCTGGCCAACGCGCAGATCGTCGATTTCCCCATCGTGTACTGCAACGAATCTTTCTGTAAAATTTCCGGCTACAACAGGGCAGAGGTGAGTGTGCTCTCAAATAGTAATGGTCGCTCTGTAAGTGCGCCCCACGCCTCCTTGCCCCCCCCC